ACCTGATAAAAGGAATATACATTTTATATGCTAGCTGCATAGCTTCTGTAACTTCTTTAAAACTGTGTTTGATTCTTAAAAGGCAATGAGATTAAAATTGCTTAGCATTAAGCAGAGAATGGTATTGCGTGCCTCTAATCCCAGCTATCAAGAGGTAAGGCAAAAAGATGGCTGTGATTGAGGCCAGCCTGCTGTACATAGGGAGTTCCAGGCCAGCTGGGGCTACAGAGAGACCCCGTGTCAAAAAAGTCCACAAATAAAAAATGAAAATGAAATTCAAATGTTTTCAATTTTTAATTTTTAAATCAGAGAAATGACAGAATAGGTTCTACCTTGTATGCCAGAATATGTGCAGTCTGCTGTGGGGGTGTATATGGAAGGCATGGATGGGAAAGGGGGTCTAAATTGGATTACGAACTATTGTATGGAATGAAGAAAAGCTCAACAAAATATTTTTAAAAAGGAAATGTACCACATTATTTAAAAACAGGATTCTTATTACTGACAGACATTACTGATCACATACAATAATTATTTTTAACATGTCATCATTTTTCATCAGAAATCTAAAATGAAATTTGTTATAAATAGAATAAGGTGTGGCTATACATGTGTATGTGTTTCATTATAGAAAATGTAAGTATATAATTTTCATCCCAGAAAACTCCTTCTGACCCTTTTGCTGATACAAAACGTGACATGATTCATCATAAAGAGGATAGATATTGTGGGGAGCCTCTGCACCTTTATGATACAAAATTTGATGTACATACTACTGTGAAGTATCTTCAAGTCTTTTAACATATTTTCAACAAAGTTTTACAACATGCATGTGTGTTGGTGTGCTACTTTAAAAAATTTGGAAATATGAATATTAAGCTTAGGGAGATATTTAGAAACTAAGGGTGTATCAGGATTATGTATTTTCTATAGGATACAAGATGTTACTAATTATTATTTTAAAATGGATATTTGATTTTGAAATTATTATTGAATAATCAAAATTCAAGCAATGCTCATTGATTTTTATAGGAATTTCTTGGAAATTTCTCTAAA